TATCTGGTTGAAGCTGGAATGATTCTGCAACCGTGTTAGGAATCACACGTTAAAAGGTAAGACCTCGTTAGTCCTTAGATCGCACAAGTTTCTCAACTTAACGGAAAAACATATTTTAAACAGAGATAAACAGCTATTGTATAGCATTACAATATTAAAATAGCTATTATGTGGTTTTGTAAACTGTCCAGCTATACAATAACGATTGTATAGCAAACACGTGTTGTGGTTTTGTGAACTGTCCAGTGAAAATCTCACAATAAAATGTTACTCAAATACGTTATGGATTTTCATCAAGTATCTGTCGGCAAATTTTATCACATACGAAATGTTACATTAGCTATTGTATAGCATTACAATATTACAATAGCTATTATATAGCAAAACACGTGTTGTTGTTTTGTGAACTGTCCAGTAAAAATCTCACAATGAAATGTTACTCAAATACGTTATGAATTTTCATCTCAAGTATCTGTCGGCCAATTTTATCACATACGAAAAGTTACAATAGCTATTATATAGCGAAACACATGTTATGGTTTTTTAAACTGTCCAGCTACACAATAGCTACTATATAGCGAAACACGTGTTGCAAATTTGTAAAATACCCAATGAAAATCTCACAATATATTGTATAGTCATGAAAATCGGTTTAGAATTGACGAAAATAACGCTCCCAAGGCATGAACACTCATATTCACCCTTTGAAATCGTATTTTTCACACAAAAAATATGGCATCATGAAGTATTTCATTGGTTTTCGTGAAAATTTCAGCCTTTGATGTTCATAAATATAAGGGAGAGGCGACTTTTTGATAAAAAAATCATCTAGGCTCTCGACCGAGCTAGACCATTCTTTTTTTCTTGAGTGTGTTTTTAGTAGCTATAAGAGCTGTGTTGGTGGAAAATAAATATCTTGAAAATTGGCACAGTTGTGTGAAAAAAAAACTCACTCCGAAAATAAAATACTTTTTGGGCGCCATTTATTCAGGGATGAAAAACTGTAAAAATAAATCTTTGGTTTTGAAGGCGTCGAAGAAGAAAATTCACCAATTTAATCTGAATTCCATCTGTATGGTCTCATGTATGGTCAAGTTTTGTTTGGATTCAGATTTATAATCCCTTTAAATGACAGTCTCAAAAACTTCTACAAACCCTGTGAATTTGTTAAACCTATCTACAAAGAATCAGAGAGAGCATTGAAAACCCGTTTTACTTTGTTATATTCCCACATATTTTTCATGTTTTGACACTGTAGGTACCCATTGTAAAAAAAGGCCCTTCTGCCGAACTTNTTACTATAAATGTTGAAGTAGTTAATATCAGTTGGTACGATAAATGCGATTGGTTAACCGGCTCCATTAAACGAGAAAAACTTTTTTGTTGGCTCTGCGTTTTATTTTCCGTACAAACTGAATACCAAACGTGGTCTTAAATAGGATACTTCGATTTAAAACATTTACCTCGTTCTACAGAAAGACATTTTAAATATAAGGAGCATATATTTTCATATATAATCGATCGCTTCAAAAACACTTCACTAACTTTCTTCGAAAACTTCTGATAATTCCTTTTCCATATTCTCTGTTTCACTATCTCTGTCGTCATTTTATTCAATAATGAATTTATTTTCACCATTAATATGGAAGTGTCTAATCTCCATATAATCTTTTTCAACTAAAATTACTTTTTTAATCCTTCTCTGCCAGTCTTCTTCGGTAATATTAGTTTCTTCTTCTTCGATCAGCTCTATTACATTCTTATCAAATTTTGGAAAATTATTTTTACGCCTGATGCTTTGTTTCAATTTTCCCCAAATCAACTCGATGGGATCGAAAACACAAAAATAGGGGGAAGTCTCAGTATAGTGTGTCTATACTTTTCAGCAATACTCTCAAAGGTATACAATTTTTCAAATGTTTTGTCTGTAACACTTC